GTTTGTACCCGGGGTTGAGTCCGGCCCCGTACTCTGCTAATTAAAAAAAACGTCCATCAATATCCGTGCCATATGTGCGCGCATGTAACCCTAGCAATATGGGTGTCCTTTCTAGCTAAAGATGACGTTCCGGACGCTTTGGCGCGATCCGTTTCGTCATTCAGGGTCGTCCGGAAGAGTTCGCCGACGGGCGAGTCGATTCAAATCAAAGTCGTGTGTGGTGCAGTGAGTGCGTGAATTGCGGCGTTCGCGAGTAATCGAGTGACAAAGGGCTCACCTAAGGCTGTTTGATCCTATAGGAACTCATTTTCGGGTCCTCTACATGTTGGTCCTTAGCCCTTGCAACTAGAAGTTGAGTGCTTGGAACCACTCATGCAAGTTCTTCGCAAAAATGAGTCAAGAAGTGGGTCGAAGTTCTACGGGAGCTGGGCTCCATTACTAGTCCGCTAGGATGGTCAATAAGAACTCCTAAAACTAGATCCTATGTTCTAAGAGTAGGAGACTAAGACCTCACTAAAAATGAGGTCAACACGCCTTTTGTAGAGTAATCTGTGAATCATCATATGCAGATTTATGATGCTAATGCAATAGATTCTTTTGGTATCTACCATAAATATTGGATACAATTTAATCTTCTAATATCATTTTACGTGTGAGATCTATATATCTAGAAAGTGTTAGATGTGAATTCCAAGAGATTAAAAGAAAAAAAATGATTTTTGATTGGTTTATGATATGACCTTAAATAAAAAACATTAAAAATTTAGCTCATGTTAAAGTTCTTTTATTATTATTATTTCACTACTTGTAAACGCTTGGCACAATGCATTGCATGATTTATTTGGCTTCGCCTTTATAGTACTTAATTTAATAAATTTTCTTGTAGGAAATCTTTTGAAATTTTGATGAATTATTAACATTTCTCTTGTTTAAATTCCACGCCTCTTGTTTCACATCCATAATAGACTCTTATTTGTCTTTATGTATAAATAAGTTTCTTATGAATACATTTACACAAATCGTGCAAATAACTAATCCATGATATGATATGATGCAACTAGTGAAATACTAAATAATGAAAGTGCTTTCTAATGGATACTTTTGAGGGCTCTTTAACTAATTCCTAACCAAAGTGAGGAAGAAGAAAAATAAAAAACAACCAACCCCAAATATGATATGCTTTATGGATGCACTTCATCTTTAATGAAAATTAAGCTAAATGATAGATGTCAATCAAGAGGAATTATGCAATTTTAGTTTTGATTAGATTATGGAGTTTCAAATTTTTAGTTTTCTTCAGCTAGTTTTTTTTTAAGTAAGTCTTTTAAAATGCAGACTAATTTAATTCTCCTCAGAAAAATATTTTCATGAATATTTAAAAAAAGAAACTATGAAGTAAAAAAAATTGATTTCTACCCGATCATTCATCATTAGATTAATATTATTTAAAAATTATCAATTTGCTTATTGATTCATTAATTTTAATTAATTTACACTGCTACATTTAGGTGTAGGTTTCATTTTCATCATAATTTCATGTTCACACATGATCTCGTGATTAATTTTGATTCGTATAATATCTATTTTTGTTTAAGCATAGATTTCAATTTCTTGAATGTAAGTGCAAATTTTGATTCAACAAAATTTGATGTTGATTCATGCTATATTGTAATTCCTTTGACATCTAATTCATTATCAAATGAATTTTAGGGTTAGGGTTTAGGGTGTACCTATAAAGAGTTTCTGTTGTGCTTGTGTTTCTAATAATGCTTCTTGGCCTCTAGCTTCTTACATCAAGTATTTAACTCTAATTAAATGCATAGAATGTTCTCCATTATGTCTGAATTGATTATTGATGCCAATTTGATAGAGAGGCCAGGTTTTTTCCTCCACAGATTTGATGGGGCAGCACCTGAACCACGCAAAGGAGTTAGAAGTGGCCATGTACCTGGAAGTAAATGCATACCTTTTGGACAGGTGATCCATACATGTTGATTGTTTTAGTTCTCTAATTTTATCTCACCCTTCAATTTAGTCTATTTTACTGATTTGTTTTACATAAGCTTAGCAAATGTGAGTGATTGTGAACGGTCACAAGTAATGAAATGTTTAAAAAGAAGGATTAGAAAGAAAACTAGCTTCTTAAAAAATTTGGGGTATGAATGTGTGAACAGTTCAACAAAAGTACAAATTTGTAGTGAAAATGATCAATTGGATGATAAAAAATGATGAGAGGGATGGAGCTTGGGTTCCACTGCCTCAACAGGTAACCAATGGGTGACAATATAACTGTTTGTTGATTTATTAGTGTCCACGTATTAGGTACATCACTACTATCTCCCACCAAGTCAATAGTCTTCTTTAAATTTTATTTTATTTTTATTCTAGCCTATTTTTTCCTTTTCTTAGTTTGTTTATAATTTTCCTCACATTTTTATGATGAAAAATGTTTTTATGTTTCAAACTATTTGTTTAGTGATACTAGAACTAACCCAAATAACAACGAAAATACAAATATTATTGTTGAAATTCAAAAGCGATTACAACCAACATGTCTGAAAACAGGAAAACAACAACACACAAAACTAGAGCGCAGGTCTGAGAGGTGGTGCTGCGATTTGTGGGGAAGCAAACATTATGGAGGTTGTAGGGTGTGAGGATAACAAACTGGTAATCAGTTGAGGGGGTGGAGCAGGTGGATGGTGGAAGGTTGTCGGTTGGGTAACCATAGGGAAGGAGCAAGACTAGCGGTTTGGGGGTTGCTGCAGGGACAAATGATGGCAGGTATGGGGTGAGTTTCGGGGAGGAAGGCTGATAGAGGGGTTACGACAGGGAGGACTAGCGGTTTGGGGGTTGCTGCAGGGACGAATGATGGCAGGTATGGGGTGAGTTTCGGCAGGGAGGAAGGCTGATAGAGGGGTTACGACAGGGAGGAGCTCGGGTGGTAGGGTTTGTGGCAGGGAGGAAGGCTGGTAGAAGGCTTACGATAGGGAGGAACTCTGGTAGGAGGGTTACAGCAGGGAGTAAGTCTGGTAGAGGGGTTATGACAGAGAAGAAGGTTGGTAGAAGGGTTACGGAAAGAAATAAGAGAGCAACAACAGGTAGGGGCGCTGGGAAGGGTGGTAGTAAACAAACAGAAGGGAAGTATGGAGGTAATCACCACAGGATAAAGTTGGAGCATCACTTGGCATCGGATACGACCCTTAACAATGGAAATTGAAGCGGATGACGGAAATCTTAGACACAAAACTGAACCCTAAAATATAAGTAACATATTTATTATAGAAGATAAGTAGGATGTGGAAAATCCTCCCTTTGGGCGCAACCCTAACCCCAAAGTAGGGTTTGGCCCCAGCAGGTTCAGGCCTTAGGTCCCTAGACCCGCGTCATTTATTATCATATTCTCAATGCTATTTATGATAGCTTGAGCATATGAACGATTTGTCTTGCTTTTATGAGTGTATGGATGAATTATCTCTTTTTAATGTTTTAAGTATTAATGGACTATATCTTAAGATTTATTTTTTTGTGTAGGTTAGTTTGTATATATTAATTATTTCATCACCATCATTATAGCCATCATTAACCTTGTATTAACAAACTATAATTTTTCATTTCATTTTTCTTAATACTACCTTAGGTGTTAGAGTTGTTCTCTAGGAATCATTTTAAAGGGCTTCTATCTTGTTTATCTTAAATCCACTGCTTTATTCTTTCAAATTAATTTTATTTACCTATTTAATAGGTTTCTTAATCCTTTATTGTACATACCTAAATCAATATGGTATATTTTTAATTATCTTCTAATAACCAGTCCAATCTCTTCTCTAATATAGTTATTATGTTTATTGACAAGCTGGACTACTCCTCTTAAAGCAGGTTTAGCATTTATGTCGAGTTTGTTGCCAATGATTGTTTCTTAGATTATATAGTAAATTTTCTATTATGATTACTTCTATTATGCCTTAGAAATGTACGTTCAAGAAATGCCAACCCTTTCCTTGAGCATACTCAATAAAGAGAAAAGTCGAGAGTAGTTTTTCTTAAAGCAAATTTGTTTGTATTAACAATATTTTTGTTGGTGTTATGCCATAGTTTAGTGGTGATGTTTCCCTAAGGTGCAAGTTCCATAATTAATTTCCTCAAATGCTCATGAAAGAACACTACTAATTGAGAATGTTTCTTAGGCTCACCTTTTTTGGCAAATACTTGGTATTAGACTTGAATTTAATTCAATATAGAATTTTTGGAGGAATGGAGGTTTATCTAGTTAAGATCTCACGATTTAATCATTTTGTGAATACCACCAATCTCAATATGCCAAACTTGGACTTTGAATCATAATATTTGGAGTTAACATCAACTCATTCAGTAGAGGGGGATTTTTATCTAGTTAATTGAATGGTTTAGAAGCATACAGCATGTTCAATTGCGATTTAAAGATACTGGACTTGATCAACAAGGGCTGAGAGACATGGCATGATTGTCAATTATCCAAGATTTTTAGTGTAATTCGAAGGAGTGTGTTGTGACACTTACGAGGTTGGATTTGTGTGTTTGTTAGAATGAAAGTTGTCCCCAAGTTGGGTTAGGTTGAGTTTATATTGATTGGAAGCTATAAGGTTTGATTTGATTGGTTTGATGGCTTTTGTTGATCTAAATTTTCCATGATGGAGCTTACATTCATTGGAAGGTCCATAAGTGGGACTTATGGTCTTAGGACGATGAAAGCCCAACAATAGTTTTATGGCTTTACCCTATAGGTGAGGTGATTTGAGTTTGCTATTTAGATTCGTGACCTTGAATGAGTAATTGGAATTAATTAATTCAAAGTTTGAAACTCACCAATCTATTTATGATTCGTGGCTTACTGCTCTGTTTGAGAGTTGCCTTGAGGATTGGAGTTTACAGTCCAAATTTTTTGAATCTTCATATGTGAGACGAGTTAGGTATATGTATTTTGAAGTGATGACTCCCCAGGAGCTCGAAAATAGCAAGATTGAATTCAGGTTTCTAGTCTCTTCACTTATTCAATTGAATTTTCATCGCATGCATTTGTATTAAGGGCCAAAGGAATTATGTTAAATTGTGATTTTTGAGATGACATTGTTTCTGTCTTGGTTACCCATAGCACTATTGATTCACTTGGGTTATATTTTTATGATCATTAATTGGCTGGAATACATTGTCATACTTTTCAATTCACCTACTTGAGTATCGATCCACCACTGGCATGGCTATAAAGGCTGTGTGCCCTTCTACTTATTTTGAAAAGGTTCAATGTCATATCACGTTTTTTAGAAACCAAATTAAAAGTAAGTTTTTTTCCTATGAAGTTCTAGCACGTAGCTTGAACAAGTCCCATATTGATGAAGAAATATCATTATTATATGTGTTGTCATAGGCTGCAAATTTCTTGTGCAGGCGTACTAGAGCATGACAGATTGTTTTTATTTCACGCTAGCATATATGAAATGCTTGTATAAAATTTTGTCCCCTTTTTGTGCCCGGTCAAATGTTTACTGGATTGTTGGAACGACCCTATTGTCTTAAATGAAAATATTTGTGATAGGAGATTTCATAGTCTTTTTGTTTTAATATGTTTCGTTGCATCTATTTTTCCCTTTAACAAGTTCAAATGTTGTGTGAGCAGGAGGCTGCATTGTTTAATGGAAAAGTTTATGAACTTACTATAGAGAGCTAGAATTATTCAAAGATACGAGGCTGCAAATGGACATTTATCCATTGTGTTGATTGGCAAAGAGACTATAATATGTGCTCCTATTGATGTAATAGTGGTGCACTACACGATTCACGCCATAAGAAAAACTTTGAGTCTCCTCTTAGTAGCTTCTATAGCTGGGTTGAAGCACAATTTATGTTGTGGAGGTTCAAGAGATGGACATCAATCAAATTTACAAATAGAAATCTTCCCATCATTTCTCGTTGGTTTCTTATGTCTAGAAGGTTGCGACTTGCGAGGTGTTCTTTGGTGATGCTATAGTGGAGCAAGGCATATGCCATGGAAAGGTTATGGTGCTAATCCTTCAGTTGCCATATGGGGATGAAATTTATGATAGGCTATGATGCTCATCTTGATAATAGTTTTAATGTGGCGAGGAATGATGTTTATGTTGTTGAGATGGAGGGAGAGGTGTTTTGCGATGTTATACTTTTGATCATCGATCTTATCCCTCTTCTTTTATGCATGCTTTAATTAAGCTCTTTTGCAGTTTCACTCACCGATGCATGTTTTTTTATTTTAAAGAAAGAGGTTATTGCTAGGATTGTTTATGGGGCAAAGAGAGAGCAAAGAGGAAACGGCGGTAGAAGGAATAGGATACATCGAGATGGTTGTATTTGGATTCACATGAGGGTTGTCGGCGAGTTAATGTACAAATTGTGAAGTTGAGAGGCAATGAGATATCATGCAGTAGACTCGAGAGAGGGTGATCAAGGAGTAGAGGAATCATATTAGTGGGAGTTTTTGGGTGTGAGTGAGAGAGGAAAATTACAAGTATTAAATTGGGGGAGGCAGATGAGTGAGGTTTAGTGTGAGAGATCACATGAGAGTGTGGAGTAGGAGTGGAACAAAGAGTGAGTGGGAAGGGCATGGAATTTAGTGTTGTAAATAGCAATGAGGGAGACTAGTGGACCCTACTTAAGATGAGAGACAAGGGGTGTTGGCGAGACATTTGGAAATTTTTGGCCAGATTATGGGTTGGTATCCCTATGAATATCTATCCCTGTTAGGTGGCTCAGACCGCCGACCATGTGGGCCCCACATGTTCAATTGGTGGAAGCTATTAGAGTTAGTTGCTTATATCAGCCTTATTCTCTTTTATATTACTTTATTATTATGTTTTATGTCTTTACTTCATTGTTTATTTTGTATTTTGTAAGTTGTAATATTAAAATTATGTTTGCCCTATTCGTTCAGGGAAAATGTTGTAATTTAAATACTACGGAATAAGAGAATATAATTTCTCCACCATTCTTCATGGTATCAGAGCAGGTTCAGCTGGTCACGTCTAGTTCGCCTGTCGGCATCATTAGAGTCATCTGCATCTCTGCATATCGTGGTCTGTGACATCCACGACCGGCAAAGTCTGCTTTGTCTTCATTTTCATTTTTCGCGGCGTCATCTTGTATAGTCTGCCTACCAATGTAACAAGCACGCAATTTTCTCTAGAAAATAAGCTATTGAATCTTAAAACAATTATTTTTGCATCTTATGCGGGAACGTAGAAGTGTAATATCCGATTCAGCTCAAAAGGATTTTTTGTTCTGCTAGAAATTAATATTAAGAGAAAATCCACATAAATGTTTGGAATTCACACAAGAAAGTGAACTTGCAACAAAGTTGGTAAAATAATGCTTTCAACCGATAACAATAAATAGAGAGAGAGAGAGAGAGATTCATATAACTGTTCTCTTAAGCCTCAGCAAACCTATTTATAGATATCTCAAAACACAGTAGCATGGAAGAAGCTGCTTAACAGAAAGAAATCGTAGCTCATGATCCTGACACCTTGGGATTATTTGCTTTGTTTTCAACCAATGTGCTACACATTCGAGCACCTCGAGCTCATATCTTTATTCAAAATAATGCAGGGTGTTATTAAATCAGTGAGATTATTAGTTTTCTTCTCAGTCATTGGCAAAACCTTGATGCAATTATTCTTTTTCACAGAGAGAATTCATTTCACCGCCTTAAAAAATAGTCTCTTACAGATGGTCTGACCGTTTCGTATTATCCCTCAACTTTCTTGCGCAGCTGTTAGATGGATCACAAAAGCTTTTGCCCAAAGAGGAGCTTACTAAAAGATTTGAGCAGGAAGGTTGGGTTTCTTGAAAGCATTTGTTTTAGTATAATTTCATTCTTTTTTAATCAATTTCTTTGCTAGATTTAGCACCTTTCTTGTCAAAAATCTTATTTAGTCACAAGTCAATTATTGTAGGCAAAAATGGTAACGAAGTTGTGATAAATTTCTTTTATTTTCATACTTGCAGTCAAACTTATCTATATATGTTGCAGGAATTTCATTGGATCGTCCTGTTGTTACCTCATGTGGTACTGGTGTCACTGCATGCATACTGTCCCTTGTAAGACTTTGTGGCTCCACTGTCTTCAAAGAAACCTTATAATTCTGCTTCTTGGTGAAACAAAAACTCAATTTTTTTTTTTATGAACTTTCTCATTAATTTCTGCGACAGGGTCTCCATCGGTTAGGGAAGACAGATGTGGCTGTGTATGATGGATCTTGGACTGAATGGGGAGCCCATCCTGACACTCCTGTCCAGGCTACTTGAATTTCTCCTCCAACGGCTACCTGCAGAGTCTGATCAAAATCTCTGAGCTTCAAATTTTATTTCCAACCAACTCAGGATGGTGAGATGCATAATCCCAGGTCTGAAACACTTATCAGCATCATCATATCTATCCTAGTTATTCAGAACATGTCAAATACTTGAACAGAATTTCTAAAACTTTTAAAAATATTCAGTTGGTTTAAGCTCTGCAAAACTTCTAAAAAATTATTTACTTCCAATTGTAAATTTTCTGTAATTTCGGTGGTTGAGGTTTGAAGCCATGTGTCACGGACAAATAGTCCCACATCAGCTAGGTGTAGGACCGAAAAATAGTATTTAAGTCCCGGGCTGCCCATCACTCACAAAGGCTCTTTTGGGAGGTGACAAGTGGTATCAGAGCAGATTACTGTCTGTCAGGTGTGTGGACTCTCCATGGTCTAGTGGGATCCTTGGTGGAGCCGATCCGTGACGAGGGCGTCACGTGATTGGGTGGAGGAGAATATCACGGACAAATAGTTCCACATCAGCTAGGTGTAGGACCGAAAAACAATATTTAAGTCCTGGGATGCCCACCACCCACAAAAGCTATTTTGGGAGGTGACACGTGGGTGGTAATTGCTGCACAATGAAATCACTCTTTTGAGGGAATCACAGCGAAGTTTGTTAAGAAATTCTATTATTTTAAACTGCATGATAATATATGATTTCACATTAACTTGTTCTATCTTCATTAGCTTTGCGCTCTTCTCATGTTGTGCATGTTACCTTAGAAGCCGTTTCTCAGTATTTTTCTTTTAGCTCAACACTTTTATCTCTCAGAAGATTTCCAAAATAAGGCTGAGCAGTTTTTAGAAGTTTTTTTATTTTTATTTTTTTGAATAATTGCATATAAGGCACCCAAAACATTGATATTTACTATTTGTGCATCAACGTGATTTTTTGAACTACCGGGCTAATGCATTTTTGCGTGCCACGATCAAGCCATTAATGCTTGAGAATTTGATAAAAATGAAAAATATGGGTTGGGATTTTATCATGAATTTTGAAAGATCATTTGAAAAATAGATAAAATGGATGAGAGGGTGCTTGATTTGTAAATAGTAATATTTGTGGTGCTCCGTAGGTAATTGCCCTATATAAATAATAATTTATGTTTGAATAATAAATAAAATTTATAATATTATTTTTCATACTTTATGTTCAATATTCTTAGTACGGAATGACTTAAATTATGTTTTAAGGCTAAGCATTATTTTTCAAATTTTAATTTAAATTTATTCATAAGCGCTCCAACTTTGCCTCCCCTAGAACTTTCGTTAAGAGTCATCTTAAATAAAATTAAAAAAAAAAGCAATTTATAAAGTTTTTTTCTTTCCATATATATATATATATATATATATATATATTTTTACCATATAATGCATCATAATCTTTGGTTGCCTTAAAAAAGACAAATTTCTACTGTTAACTAAAAGGTTAATTGATGCTAAGCATCTTTGTTTGCCAATAATCACAAGGTTGAAAACAATAAAATATTGTAATGATCACCTAAACCCCCAAAAACACGATGTTAAAAGTGTCCCCACATTAAAATATAGAACTGTTTATTCAAATAAATCAATTTTATTTGTGATTTAAGCTGATTAAATTGATTTCATTATATCATATTTAACACTAATAAATAAGATGCTTCATGTCGTATTACAAATTAAAAAAAATTAATGAGCCAAAATAGAAAAATGTCATGGAATTTGCCATATGAATTAGGTGTTAACGAGTCGAACACAACCGAACCTATGTAAGGAACCCTGTAAGATAAAAATTCTTGCAAGTGAGAGCTGGCCATGAAAAAAGAGATGGATTTTTTGCTAGAAAATCAGACATGGGAGCTGACAGAACTTCCACCAAGGAATAAGATAATACACAACAAGTGGGTGTATAGGGTGAAAACTGAGCATGATAACAGTAAGTGGTATAATACTAGACTTGTTGTAAAATGCTTTCAGCAGAAACAATGCACTGATTACTCTGAGATCTTTTATCTTGTGGTGAAGATCACAACCATCAGGATGATACTGTCTATGTTCACTACCGAAGATCTATTTGTTGAGCAGTTAGATGTAAATACAACATTTCTTCATAAAAACTTTGAAGAAAACATCTTTATGCACCAACCTAAAGGGATTTATAGTACAAAGAAAAGAAGATTCAGTTTGCAGACTGAAGGAGAGCTTGTATGGCCTGAAACAAGCTTTTAAACAGTGGTACAAAAAAAAATTAATAATTCATGCAAAATGTAGGGTACACTAGATGTCAGGCAGATTATTGTTGTAATGTAAGGAATTTTGACAATTCTTATATTACTCTACTGTTGTACTTGTATGAAATGCTTAATGCAAAGGTCAGTATTGATGAGATTGATATTCAGAAGAAGCAGATGTCAAAACACTTTGCAATAAAAGATTTGGGAGCTGCAAAACAAATCCTTAGCATGAGGAGTGTCAAAGATAGAGTCTAAGGCGCGTTGAGACTCTCACAAGCAGAGTATATGAAAAAGGTATTTAACAGGTTTAACATGGACAAGGCAAAACCAATTGGCACACCTTTGGACAGTCACTTCAGACTCAGCAAGAATCAGTCACCCAAGTCAGAGAAGGAACAAAACCACATGAGTAAGGTTCCTTACGCCTTATCTATTGGTTCACTTATGTATGTTATGGTTTGCACAAGATCAGATATTGCCTATGCAGTGGGAGTTGTGAGCAGATACATGAGTAACCCAGAGAAGGAACATTGGGAAACAGTGAAGAAGATTTTGAGGTACCTAAAGGACTCCTCAGAAACCTTCTTGTATTTCTCAAGGAAGAGTTTAAAGGTACATGACTATGTTAATGTTGATTTAGCTGGAGACATTGACAACAGAAAGAGTACTGCGGAGCATGTTTATACTCTTGGTGGCACCACAAAATCATGGGGCTTTAACCTAAAAAAAAAGTTTTTTTGTCTACTACAGAAGCTAAGTATATAACAGTGTCAGAGGCTGTAAAAGAAATGATATGACTGCAAGGCTTCTTGGAAGAATTGGGTAAGAAGAATCCAAAGGGCACTCTCTATAGTGATAGTCAAAGTGTCATATTCCTTGCCAAGAATCTAGCATTTCAATCCATAACTAAGCACATTCAGATCATGTACCACTTCATACGATCATTGTTAGAGGACAGACAATTGTTATTTGAGAAAATTTGTGGAAACAATAACCCTGTTGATATGTTGACTAAGGGTGTTACACTTGAGAAACTGAAGTTTCACGCAACTTCAGTTGGTCTTCTAGCTTGAAGGCAGGGGGATTGAGTTGCATGTGTGAAGGATATCACGTTTGAGGAAAATGTCGATGCAGCCAATGTACGATGGGGCCAGTTTACCAGTTTTTAAGTGGGAGATTTATCGAGTATTGTAGAGCCCGATTCACCTCTCCTTTTGGCGGTTTTTGCATTTATGAAAGCTATTCAAATTTCTCTGTTTTAATTCCTTTTATTCTCTTCTTTCATTCCTCAGGTCTTGTACGCGCCTCTCCTAATTTGGATCCCGCCCTCTGTTGATCTCGCGGCTAATAAAGGATCACATCTTCTGCCCGAAAAAGTGAGTGTGAAAGGCTACGAGAGGGAGAACGTATTACAGGCGACGAACAACAAAAGAAGCAGGAGAAGTCGCGGCGGCTTAATGATCGACTTGCGGCTAAACCACTTGCGGGCGGCAACAAAAGGTCTCACGGGGAGCAACCGAAGTTGTTGTGGGCAACAAAACAAAGGCGGAACATAACGAAGAAAGTGGAGTCGAATTCTTGTAACCCTGTCGAGAAATTGTGTAATTTTTAAATCAATAAAATCCTCTGCAACTCCATGGACACATACAATTTGCCGAACCACGTAAATTTGTGTATCCCGTGTGATTTCTCCTTTCATATTTTCTCGCTTTCACCTTTTGTTTTTTTCATAACAGTTGAGCCTATCAATTTAACTTCAAGTTTGCTGGAACCAAAGCTCAAAATAAATTTTAATCAAAATTTAAATATTTTTTGTTCAAAATATCGTCTTGGTCTTGAAATTGATGTCATACCCTATACGATTCCTACCAAATAATATACATTATTTATCAATAATCAGTATTAGGATAAATTATTAAAACAATCAGATATTAAAATTTAATAATGTTAGTTTATAACTTTTAAATGTTATTCAAATCCGCTTGATGAACGTGATACATGAGACAACTATAATATAGAACTATATATTCAAAGAATTTATTACGCTTATTTAATGCAAACCTAACTGGGTTGGTGAAACAAAAAAGGGGGGCTGTTCCACAAGTCCTTGTAGACCAGGGCGCCAATTTGGCAAATTCTACGTACTGAAATAAATTAAATTTATAAATATTTTAATGAATAAATGTGTGTTTATGTACCTATATAGAAAGGAACTTACATATATTCCTGTGATATAATACCACCTAATTTTTATGTATTTACATATCTAACACCTAAACTTCACTTTTTTATGTTGGAAAGTTTACATATATAGTACATTACTATTCAATTCTTTTGTGTATACATATCCAACATCTAAAAAGCCAACTTTTACCTACAGTCACCTGACTTGTGTATCAAAATGTGTATTTCATTTTAGTAAAGTTAAAATAATAGTAATTATGGATCAAAATATGTGGACAAGGAACCGTCAATCTCAAATTAAAAATCAAATAGAACTCTTGATTTTAATAAACTTATAGTTCTATTGATCAGCTCCATGAGATGAACCCGATGACAATAAAATTGATCATGCCCCTCAAATCAAGTTGTTAAACCACCTCTAGAACTTTTGGGTGGTTAATTAGAAGTTCAAATAAATTCCAAATGTGACAAGTTTCTAGTTGAATTGAGCATCCCGATGAGACAAATCCAACAAACCCAAGATCACTCAATCCCGCTATCGTTAAGACACTTTAATGTTCACAAAATTTCATTCGATCGAGGGAATCTCTATGGCCTGTCCGATGGAGTGATTTAATTTCTTTCTTATTTGTAGGGGAGGACACTCTCGGGCTCTATAAACAGCGCTCTGCTCTCTTCATGATCGAGTCCTAGAGCTGGACGAAGAGAAGAAAGTGTTGAATTCTAGTATTGTTCTGGGCCAAAGAACTGGCGAACATTTCCTGCTCTTTCATTGTTGACCATCGCTTGTTGTTGAGCAATGCCAACCGCTCTCTACTCACTAACGTTGATGACTCTTACAATGCAATAATGCACTCTAAAGACGGTGTAATGATACACCCCAAAGATTGTGTAACCCGAAGATTGTATAATGACACGTTCTAAATACAGTATAATAATGCACACTAAAGACGGTGTAACTACACACCACAAAGATGATGTAATGACTTACCCCGAAGAAGGTGGAACAACACACCCTGAATACGGTGTAAATATGCACCTTGAAGATGGTGTAACGACCTCCCCAAAGATTGTGTAACGACAAACCCAAAAAATGGTGAACGACACTCCCCAACTAATGACGTTGTAACTCTAGGCACTATTTGCTTACAACTGTTGTACTCAGAATACGGTGATCTTCTTAGAACCCCTAAAGTCTTCTCCTCACACCTCTCAACTACGACCTATTTGGGTCACATCTTATGCAGCTCCCAATTCTGGTCATTGTGGCCTACGAACTTTATTAAAACTCACCATTGTAACCTACGTGATCATTTATGATTTACGTGGCTCACGAATATGAAGCTACAAACTCTGGCTTTGTGCCCTATGGACGTTATTACAACCTACCACTACGGCCTACATGACTCACAACTCACGCAACTTCTAAGCTCGGCCTTTATAACTTACAATCATTATTGCAGCTCTCCACCATGTCCAATGTAACCAACTACGTTTTATGTGGCTTACATCTCTCACAACTCCCAATTCTGATATTTGTAGTCTACAAATGTAATTACAAATCACCAATATAACTTATGTGGCAAAGAAGCCAAGAAGATAAAGCTCAAATGTCTCGTTGCTTACAGTGGCATTTGGACTTTGGCAGTCCATACTGGACTCTCATCAAACAATTTGTCGTAAGATACGTAGAGATCAACAAATTAATCAAACAATAAACAAGAATAATTGAATGAAATGATCCAGCAAGAAATGTTATTGAGGTTGCCGAAAATGCAAGGCCATAATTATAAAGTTATTAATGAAAGATTTATAATCGATCAACAACATTATGAAACTCTCACTTTCAACTCATCACGTCTTTATATACAGATAAAACAAGCTTAAAGAAGTTGTTAACTTTTGGTTTTAAAAGAAAACAATTAAATTTACTTAACATAAGCAATATTACTATTTAATCATTATACTTAATTAGACTTATTAACTTTATATAAATGAAAATCGTCTTTAAAATTAGTTATCACTGATTTTCTTAATAAAAAATGTCATAAAAACTAGTTATTTACTATTTTTTAATGAATTTTCTTTCTTCTCGGGCTGGGAATTTGTCCACCCTAAGCATATCATGGGTCCGCCCATGTATGTATTTATATGCATGCCCCTTTTATATTTATACCATCTAAATCTTTCATAATATAGTAAAAGCATGTCTGACTGAATCTGTCACAGGGACAACCTGCAGCCGAAACGTCTCGCAAGCAGGACAATTAGCAAGTGAGATGATCCACAGATTGAACTAACCGCAGCCTCGAAGACCCACAGCTTGGATGAACTGTAGCTTGGACGACCAACAACATGTACACCTCACAATTTGTGTGACCAACAGCCTTGACGAACAGCCTAGAAAACCCACAGCTCGAACGTTTCACAGCCCAAATGATCTGCAGTTTGAACGACCTTCAATTTGGACAACTGGCCAGGCTTACCTTGCCTATCTAAAACCAATTAATTCTAGTAGGCCAAGCCAGAAAACAGGCAGATGGCAAACTCATATATGTAAAATATCAAAAATATCATAGCAACGTCTCCATTAAAACAAGGGTAAATTTGTAATTACATATAATGAACCCTCTCCCCTATAAATAGAGAATGATTTTATGAATAAAACAGGTAGGAGAGGCCAAAGAAGACCCCAATTATCACATACTATTATTTATTATAGTGCACTTCTCTCTCTTTCTATCTCTCAATCTCTCTCCTCTTCTTAGATGTGATTAAAGAAGAAAATTGAATTCAATAATAACACATGAAAAAATATCATTATTTTTAACTTTAAAAATGTGAAATAGACCTTTCCATATTAATGCAAATCTTCCTTCAATGCTCTTGGTATGACAAGTTCAAGCGGCTGGCATGTGACGTGAGTCCAATTTCTGGGTTCTCGAGCTTAACTACCAATTTCGTCGGATTTTGATGTTTTAAAGTGAAAGGAATTTAAAAGTGGACAGATCTTGGAGTGGTTCACGAATGATCAGAAATCTCATTTTTAAAACCATTACTTTAGTTTTAATTATGATAAAAATTAAATTCTTTGAAGATTTAGAAATTAAAGCCAACGAAAAATTATTACGTCCAGACTCCGGACGTAGAGATACGTCCAGAGATACGTCAGAGTGCAATAAATCGCCTTCACATGGAGCTGACAAAAAAAAAAAAAAAAAAAAAAAAAAAAATTATTCTTCTTGTGATCTGACACAGTAACACAGAAGAATATTCCCCAATATTATTCTGCATTATTCATGTATTTTGTGGTGATATTGATGTGTTATTGTGTTATTATAATACTAAGAACACGATAACATATGAATAATATCACAATAACACTTGAATAACGCAGAATAATACAGAAAAATATAACAAAAATTTTTTTATTATTCTACATCAAGGGAGGAGGCACTTGAGAAACTTCCAAGTTTTCATAAATATTCATTCTCAATCAGAGTCGCTGATCTTCTTAAATATCTACAAAGAAATTATTGAAGTTTTAAAATTCAAATATCTCATAATAAATTTAACAGTTTCGAGATTGATGAGTTGGGTTCATTCTGGACCAATTTATTACAAGAGTAAAATAATATATCTTATAATTTCAAAAAATTTAAAGTGTATCATAAATTTCCCAACTAACGTCTTTACCGGCCCTCCCGCCCAATCATTCTCTATAAATAATATGTTCCTACAGAACCAGCCAGCTCTAAGCAATGACTCTCCGTCCGATGATCTCTCATTCCATCCCTCTCCTCCTCTGCCTCCTCTTCCTTCCCCATTTCATCTCTCACGCCACAACTCTCCCCTCTCCGGACTCCCTCCTCCAATGCCTCCACAACCACTCCATTCCCCCTTCCCTCATCTTCACCCCCAAATCCTCCAACTTCACCCCCACTCTCTTATCCTCAGCCCAAAACCCACGAATCATCTTCGACAATCACTCCACCAAACCCTTTCTCGTCATCACCCCAACCCAAGCATCCCACGTCCAAGCCGCCGTCATCTGTTCTAAAAACCTCAACTTCCAACTCCGAACCAGAAGCGGCGGCCACGACTACGAAGGCCTCTCCTACTTCTCCACCTTCGGCCCTTTCCTCATCCTCGATCTCTTCAACCTCCGCTCCATCTCCTTCAATGTCGATAACACCGTTTGGGTCCAATCAGGCGCCACGCTCGGCGAGCTTTACTTTTCCATCGCTTCAAAGAACCGAACTTTAGCCTTCCCGGCTGGGTTCTGTCCAACGGTTGGTGTCGGGGGGCATATAGCTGGTGGAGGCATCGGCACCATCATGAGAAAGCATGGCATCGCTGCCGACCACGTCGTTGACATCCACCTAGTGAATGCCGATGGGGAGATTTTGGATAGGGAAACCATGGGAGAGGATCTCTTCTGGGCGTTAAGAGGAGGAGGAGCTGCCAGCTTTGGAGTCATACTCGCTTACAAGATAAAGCTCGTGCAAGTCCCTCCAAAGGTCACAGTTTTATCCAAAACCTTAACTTTGCCGCAGGGCGCCACAAAAGCTGTGGCAAAATGGCAGCGGGTGGCTTACAGCGCAGACAACAGACTTTACATCAACGCAGGATTGATCGTGTCGAATAAGTCCGTGCAGGCCGACTTTAGTGGCTTGTTCTTGGGTGAGTTGCCGGAGCTGCTTCTAATAATGGAGCAGAGCTTACCTGAGCTAAAAGTGGCCCGTAAAGACTGCAAGGAAATGACTTGGATTGAATCCGCAGTGGTCTTCTCCTCTTTTCCAGTAATGAACATAAATAGCAGCCAGCCTTTGAGTGTTTTGCTTAATAGAAGTCCGGTGGCACCCAACATTTCTTTTAAAGTGAAGTCTGATATAGTGACTGAACCCATATTAGAGCAGAGTTGGGAGAAGATATGGAAATATATTCTCAACGGAGGCGAGCAGCTTGTGATGCTTGTGGAGCCACTAGGAGGGAAGGTTGCAGAGATAGCAGAGACTGAGACACCATTTCCTCATAGGAATGGAAGTAAGTTTGTGATACAATATATAATGGTTTGGTCTAGGATTGGGAAAGATGAAGCAAAGAAGCATATTGAATTTTTGAGAGGGTTTTACAAGTTCATGGCTCCATTTGTTTCGAAGAAACCTCGAGCAGCTTACCTAAACTTTAGAGATCTGGACTTGGGGCGAAACACAGAAGGTGTTATAAGATACAACAAAGCGAAAGTATGGGGAAGCAAATACTATAGAGTCAACTTCAAGAGGCTGGCATATGCCAAGTCTAAGACGGATCCGGATGACTTTTTCAAAAATGAGCAGAGCATCCCGCCACTGTTTTATTAATAGACATAATTAAGATTTTATTATTTTGAATTGCTCTCCTAGCTTTCGTTGAGCCTCCATGATTTTATTTTATGCATCTTTTCTCACGTTTGAAATTGAATATCTCCCATGTTGAGAGGTCCAACGCCATTATTTTATTTCTGCCTTTTATTGGAATACTGCTTGAAGCATCCATCATATATATATATATATATATATTCTTAAGACATTTTGTCTTTTATTTATTTGTAATTTTGTGTTGCCGATTATAAAATTATGATGGTCTTATGAAGGTGATATAAATTATATGTCAGTATTAGTAAATATTATTTTTACTGAAAGTTTATTTAAGTGGAACTTATAAATAAATAAATAAAATATGATCAAGATGAGTATTATATTGTTATTGCGTAGAAGTTCTTATGTGTTTATTTTTATAATGAGGGTTGAAGTTGGAATGGTATGAATATACATTTTATTATTTTTTTGTCATAAATTAAATATATAATTTTATTTAACTTTTTGTTGTTAATCTTTTTCAATATTATATAATAATGATTTTTTAGTTATTTGAACTTTAGTAAAGATGAGGGCTGACACATGTCGGAAGGTCTGTTTTGATAGAATGCTTATTCAGCGTCTTAGCGTTGCATGAAAATTCTGCACACACTCAGATAATTCAAGTGAATTGTAGAGACACCAAAAGGTTTATGTAAAAATATCTTGAGAATGGGAAAAAAACTATGGGGTCTAGCTTAGTTGAAATAATGCACTATGTAATAGTGATTTCACAAACCCACTTTTTTTTTCCAAGTTAGGGAAGATTGAATTGCAAAATTGATGTAAAATGATATTTCTGAAATAATATTTGTAACGTAGCTGCGAAATTTATAGTCGATTATTACGCAGGCAGTAGTACACTGTGAATATTGTTGATGGTGGTTGTAGTGTCAGCTTGTCATAGAAGTCATAGTTGAAAGTCATGATAATAATTTATTATATAGGTCGTACATGGTTGCTTCAGGAGCGTCCATTCGCCACAAAGGTCGTAATATAGAGATGCAATAACATCCATAAGCTGTAGAAGTCATAGTTGGAAGCTGCATCAACTATGAGTTGTGTAAGCCGTGGTTGGTCACAAGGACCATAGTGATGAGATGTAATGACGTATGTAAGTCATAGAGTTAGTTCTTATAGACATGGTGTATGAATAAGATACAGGAAGACTATCCTACCATAATCATGCTCAATAAATGAGTTGTCGAGGTGGCAACAATGGATGTCCCTTAGCTTGAAAATGCATCTTTTAAACTTGATTTATGGATGAGACATGAGATGACTTCCCTACTACAATCATGCCCAGAGTGATAATGTGAACGATTTTCGAATCATCTTCGACAATCACTCCCCCAAACCCTTTCTCGTCATCACCCCAACCCAAGCATCCCACGTCCAAGCCGCCGTCATCTGTTCTAAAAACCTCAACTTCCAACTCCGAACCAGAAGCGGCGGCCACGACTACGAAGGCCTCTCCTACTTCTCCACCTTCGGCCCTTTCCTCATCCTCGATCTCTTCAACCTCCGCTCCATCTCCTTCAATGTCGATAACACCGTTTGGGTCCAATCAGGCGCCACGCTCGGCGAGCTTTACTTTTCCATCGCTTCAAAGAACCGAACTTTAGCCTTCCCGGCTGGGTTCTGTCCAACGGTTGGTGTCGGGGGGCATATAGCTGGTGGAGGCATCGGCACCATCATGAGAAAGCATGGCATCGCCGCCGACCACGTCGTTGACATCCACATGGTGAATGCAAATGGGGAGATTTTGGATAGGGAATCCATGGGAGAGGATCTCTTCTGGGCGTTAAGAGGCGGAGGAGCTGCCAGCTTTGGAGTCATACTCGCTTATAAGATAAAGCTCGTGCAAGTCCCACCAAATGTCACAGTTTTGTCCAAAACCTTAACTTTGCCACAGGGCGCGACAAAAGCTATGGCCAAATGGCAGCAGGTGGCTTACAAAGCAGACAACAGACTGTACATCAGCGCACTATTAAGCACGGTGGGTGGGACCGCGGAAGTCATCTTTAGCGGCTTGTTCTTGGGTGAGATGCCAGAGTTGCTTCTAATCATGGAACAGAGCTTACCCGAGTTACAAGTGGCAGGGAGTGACTGCAAGGAAATGAGTTGGATTGAATCCCAAATCGTCTTCTCCTCTTTTCCTGCACCTAACATAAATAACGACCTGCCTCTAAGTTTTTTGCTTGATAGAAGTCCGAGAGCCCTCAACCTTTCTTTTAAAGTGAAGTCGGATATAGTTAGGGAACCCATTGTAAAGCAGAGCTGGGAGAAGATATGGAAATATGCTCTCAAAGGAGATGAGCTACTTCTGATACTTATTGAGCCATTGGGAGGAAAGGTTGCAGAGATAGCAGAGACTGAGACACCATTTCCTCATAGGAATGGAAGTAAGTTTGTGATGCAACACATTGTGGGTTGGATTGGGGAAGGAAGAAAAGAAGCAAAGAAGCATATTGATTGGTTCAGGGGGTTTTACAAGTTCATGGCTCCATTTGTCTCGGAGAACCCTCGAGCTGCTTACCTTAACTTCAGGGATCTGGATTTGGGGAAAAACACTGAAGGTGTGGTAAGCTACGACAAGGCACAAGTTTGGGGAAAAAAATATTATAATGTCAACTTCAAGAGGCTGGCATATGTAAAGTCTAAGACGGATCCCGACAACTTCTTCAAAAATGAACAGAGCATTCCGCCATTGTTTTATTAGTTTATAGTTTCATTGTTGTAAAATAACAGCTTATTGAATAATCTGTTGCTGATAAGCTTGTTAAAAATAATTTAACTATAAGTTAGGTGTGATGGTTATTATAAATTTTTTTTTTTAAAATAGTCAGACCGCAACCAGAAAACTGTCACCGCACCAATATTTTGAAAATGCATAAGCTGTCAAAACCCAGTTTACTCAAACATGTCAGGTGCGTTTTCAAAACGTCATCGCACCAAATAAGCTGCTCCAAACGGACCATAGTCGGGCGGTTGAGCTTCTTCTCCCTCACGCATTGAATTTAATGAATCCAAATTTATGTAATTTATTGGATTTAATAAATTTTATTTAACATAAATCTTAATTGCATCCAAACACAAACTAAAGCATCTGCAATTGAAAAGAAAGTCAAAAAATTTCAAGACATTTTGAACCATTTAGACGTGTAGGTCGGTTCTTTCTCTCAACTAAGCTATGGCTGAACGCTTTGGTGCTGGTCTTTTTCAATGCGGTGTAAAAATTAGATTATGTCTTTAGTTAAATTTATTTTAAATTATTAATATTTTTTTCCATGATCATTTTCAATTGAATTTTAGTTCCCAAAATTTGGAAGCATGGATTGAACTTCTTAGCATTTATCCAGAGTGAATATTTTAATTTGAACCAATCCTTGTCTCTGTTCTTTCATAATAAAGTTATCATTTTAAATAAATCTTTTTGTTAAATTAATACCGGCCCTTCGCTAAAACAAGCAAAGAGAAAATTTATTTTAAATAAAGAATTAAAATCCATGACAAATTAAAAGTGATACATCATGAGAAATTCCCAACATCAAACAATAATGTTGAGGCAACACACGGATCTCCGGGCAATCGTTTGAGTAAGAAATATTTAAACTTCGATCAAAATTCATTATGAGCTCCATTTCAGCAGACTTATAGTAAAAGTGACAAACTTGACGAACCGGACCCAATGATACTAAAATTGATATAATCTGAACCAAATCAACCTTCGATCAAGTCATTAAACCATTATTGGAAGTGTTATGGGCTTATTTGAAAGGTCAAACGGATGTCAAATATGACGAGCTTATGATCGAATCAAGTGTTTCAGCAAGCAAATTTAACGAGCAGTAGATTTCTGAATTACAATATTCTTAAGACACTCAAATGTCCATTAAACATCGTATAATCGAAGAAATCTCACGGAGTCGTCCGATCAAAATAGTTTATATTTCTTCATTATTATAACAGGGATTCTATGAATAGAGTCTTACCCCTCTTTATGAGAAAGGAAAAGAGAGTTGGAAGCCTGAAGAAGATCGAAGCTTAGAGAATGAGCTAAAGTTCAAGATCAACTCGTCGCCGATCACCACCGACCATCAGTCACCGACTGCCGCCGATTACCTTCGATTGCCGTCTCACTTCTTACAAAAAGTTAACACGCGTAGAAACTTTATAACTCAAGAGATTGTGCAACCATTTTCTGCCCGTGAGACAATAGATTGTAACTGCAATCTCAAAGTTGTAGTGAATCAATTCAACTAAGTTACACCCATAATTTTTTCTTTTATGAGCTTTTCATGTAAAAATTTCTGGTATTTTTACTGGTTATTTTTTTCATCTGAGTGTGTGTTGAATTCTAGAGCAACACTAAGACGATAATTTATTACTTTAGAGCTTCTAACGTTCATCAAAAAGTTTAAAAATATAACTTTGCATTTATAAAAATATAGGTATCCTGAAACTTTTGTCAGTTATGATTTTTAAAACTAATTTTCTAATTTTTTATTAATATGATCATTGTAATGATAAACATAATAAAATTTTCTCTTATGAAAATAATTATAATATATACATACATATATATTGAGAAAGATGAACACAGAAAATAGTGTATGTGATTTTAAGTCAGCTCGCGGTGAAAAAACACTGCTTCAACCATGATGTGAGTAAGTGCATCTAATGCATGTGCACTTGTAATAATAATATAAATTTTATTGGAATGAATTTATTTACGCCTTTTTAATGCACATAATTAAATTAGTAATAAACGAAGGGGTCCGGTTGCTGTACTCATTATTCAGTATAAATCATTACAAAAGAAAGTTTTAACATTTTTTCATCGACAACACAGAACTCGGGAGTAAATGAGTCGAGAGTCGTGCTAAATTTGAGATTCAAGATTAATTTCTTTGAATTTGAGGTTGAGTATAAGCTCAATTTTATGAGCTAGAGCCAGCTCACGAGAGTTGATTTATTTATTATATAAAATAAAATAATATTCGTTTAAAATTATGTTATTATAAAATCATAAATAGAATGAATAATTTGAAAATAAATAATAAGAATCATTTAATCTAAAAGAAAATATTATTTTTAAAAATATTTTTAATGTTTAAAATATAAAATCTTTAAATTTATTATATTTTAAGTATATTTTATATTAATAGTTATACTCCATCAATAAATTATTATCATCATACATGAATCTCAACGCAAGTCATGGATATCGATGCACATTTGTAAGAAAAAAATATTTAAATTTTGATTGAAGTCATCCATTGCACCTATTATAGAAAACTTATAGTCAAACTGATCGGCTCGGTGAGACTGATTTAATGGTACCAATAGTGAACCAATTTAAATCAAATCGAGCCCCGATCATGCCAATAAATCACTTTTGGATACTTTCTAAACACATTTGGAAGTTCAAATGAATGTTGAATACGACGAGCTTATAGTCGAATCAAGTGTCTTGACAAGACGAATCCAATGAGTCGAAGATCACACAACTCTGACATCAGTAAGGCCTTCAAATGTCCATCAAACACTTTTTGATCGAGATAACATCTCTGAGTCATCCGATCAAAGTGGTTCATATTTTTGCATTAATTGCACCAAAAACTATAAATAGATCCCCATCCCTCTCATGAGGGGAAGGAGAGTTTAAGGCTTCAGGAAAAGCTTGAAGCTTTTAGAAAGAGCTAAAGTCCAACATCACTTTTGCCGCCGTCGATCATTGTCAACTGTCGATCACTGTCAACTACCACTCATATATCATCACCTATCAACATCATTCGCCCCTGTTCCTCGCAACAAGTTTATTCGTATATGGAAGACCGTCAACTACCACTCATATATCATCATCTATCAACATCATTCGCCGCCTGTTCCTCGCAACAAGTTTATTCGTATATGGAAGTCGTAATTCAGAAGACTTTGTAACATTTTCCCACTTGTGAGATAAGAAGTCTCTGTAATCATCAACTTATGGTGGATTTTTACAACAATGTTAGACTCTGTCATTTCCCTTTACAGGTCTTCCACGTGAAAACTTGTGTTGTCACTACTAGTTGTTTTCTCTCTTTTGAGTGTCTGTTGAATCTTTGTACCATGCTAAAGCGATAATGCACCATTCTATTGCTGTGAATTTTCTAACATACATCAGTTTGGTGATGTCTGTAGGAAAAGAACATTCCTACCACTAAAGTACTTACAATACTTTTTGCATGGTCACCAAGTGCAACGCTCGAACCAACGGAGCATCTCACTCCAACACTCATCAATCCAGAAAACAATCAAGAACCAAGGGCGCCAGCCTCTGCATCCTCCCACTCTAGAAGTCGTTACCTAAGTCTGGATGGTGCCTCGGGTCCTTCTCAGGAAGACCAAGTATGCTGAATAGAGGAGTCCCAACATAAGATCCTTCAGCTTCTACTGCAATCGATGCCCATGCACCCAAATGGAGCTTACTTACCCACCAGTTCAACATCCAACAGGAAATACCCCACTTACAGGGTTATCTCTCAATAATGAATCCATTTCTCTGTCGAAACGAGCTGTCAATGTCCTCGACATTACAATATCCACTCATTCGTCCTATGTAGCTCATCTGTCGCTTCCGCTAATATCATTTGTAATGAGCTACAACGCCTGGTTCGGGAATAGTTCCCTCTGGATAAAAGGGATCGTTTTCCCGCTCTCTTCAACTTTCAAGAATCGTTTCCTTTAGTTGACGCGGTTCTCCGACACCCAATCCCAACGAGCTTTAAACTCCCGAATATCGATGCCTACGGAGGGGTAACTGACACATACGAGCACGTCGATCACTATCATACTATCATGCACATTTATAGTGCATATGATGTGCTTCCCTGTGACTCTCAAGGGTCAAGCTCGCACATGGTTCTACTCTCTCCTGAGGGGCACCATCAATACATTCAATGAGCTTATTAGATTATTCGTATAGCAGTTTGTAGCAAATAGAAGGATCATCAAAGATTCATCTCACTTATCGGGAGTTCAACAGAATGAGGGGGAATCCATCAAGGAATACTTTCACAAGTTCTCCACTGAAGCCCATCAGATTCTTGGAGTGGATTTGGAGTTAGTCCTTCTTGAAGGGCTCTGCTTAGGACCTTTCTATTCATCAATAATGCAGGAGACGGTGCGCTCTTACACTTATCTCATCCATCGCGTCAAAACTTAATTTTCTGCAGACGAGACCATCATTGTACATAAAGAACAATTTCAGTGATTGAAAGGCAAGCACAAGATTAACGTCGGGGATACCGATCAAATCTTACAGCGAAAAATGTTCGGACCACAAGGGAATCGTGAACCACAATAAAAAAAAGAATAAATGTCACTCAACGCATCAAGTGTCAATATCCTAATGTCCATCAAAGATGAGAAATATGGTGGAGACCAGTTTCAATATTATCTTTTCCACCATGCAAAAAGGCATTCGATGGAAAGATGTTTTCAATTAAAAGAAAAATTGAATGTCTGATGTGTCAAGATCATCTAGGTCGCTACTTACAAGAAGAAGGAGAGGGGAACTAGAAGAGAATCATTGGAGTTATCGAATGAAAAGTACACCTCCAAATTATCATATTTGAATAAGAGCTGGCTTGTAAACTCCTAACATTATTTTAGTATGCCGACCACGTCGTTGACATCCACCTAGTGAATGCCGATGGGGAGATTTTGGATAGGGAAACCATGGGAGAGGATCTCTTCTGGGCGTTAAGAGGAGGAGGAGCTGCCAGCTTTGGAGTCATACTCGCTTACAAGATAAAGCTCGTGCAAGTCCCTCCAAAGGTCACAGTTTTATCCAAAACCTTAACTTTGCCGCAGGGCGCCACAAAAGCTGTGGCAAAATGGCAGCGGGTGGCTTACAGCGCAGACAACAGACTTTACATCAACGCAGGATTGATCGTGTCGAATAAGTCCGTGCAGGCCGACTTTAGTGGCTTGTTCTTGGGTGAGTTGCCGGAGCTGCTTCTAATAATGGAGCAGAGCTTACCTGAGCTAAAAGTGGCCCGTAAAGACTGCAAGGAAATGACTTGGATTGAATCCGCAGTGGTCTTCTCCTCTTTTCCAGTAATGAACATAAATAGCAGCCAGCCTTTGAGTGTTTTGCTTAATAGAAGTCCGGTGGCACCCAACATTTCTTTTAAAGTGAAGTCTGATATAGTGACTGAACCCATATTAGAGCAGAGTTGGGAGAAGATATGGAAATATATTCTCAACGGAGGCGAGCAGCTTGTGATGCTTGTGGAGCCACTAGGAGGGAAGGTTGCAGAGATAGCAGAGACTGAGACACCATTTCCTCATAGGAATGGAAGTAAGTTTGTGATACAATATATAATGGTTTGGTCTAGGATTGGGAAAGATGAAGCAAAGAAGCATATTGAATTTTTGAGAGGGTTTTACAAGTTCATGGCTCCATTTGTTTCGAAGAAACCTCGAGCAGCTTACCTAAACTTTAGAGATCTGGACTTGGGGCGAAACACAGAAGGTGTTATAAGATACAACAAAGCGAAAGTATGGGGAAGCAAATACTATAGTGTCAACTTCAAGAGGCTGGCATATGCCAAGTCTAAGACGGATCCGGATGACTTTTTCAAAAATGAGCAGAGCATCCCGCCACTGTTTTATTAATAGACATAATTAAGATTTTATTATTTTGAATTGCTCTCCTAGCTTTCGTTGAGCCTCCATGATTTTATTTTATGCATCTTTTCTCACGTTTGAAATTGAATATCTCCCATGTTGAGAGGTCCAACGCCATTATTTTATTTCTGCCTTTTATTGGAATACTGCTTGAAGCATCCATCATATATATATATATATATATATTCTTAAGACATTTTGTCTTTTATTTATTTGTAATTTTGTGTTGCCGATTATAAAATTATGATGGTCTTATGAAGGTGATATAAATTATATGTCAGTATTAGTAAATATTATTTTTACTGAAAGTTAGTGGAACTTATATTTAAGTGGAACTTATAAATAAATAAATAAAATATGATCAAGATGAGTATTATATTGTTATTGCGTAGAAGTTCTTATGTGTTTATTTTTATAATGAGGGTTGAAGTTGGAATAGTATGAATATACATTTTATTATTTTTTTGTCATAAATTAAATATATAATTTTATTTAACTTTTTGTTGTTAATCTTTTTCAATATTATATAATAATGATTTTTTAGTTATTTGAACTTTAGTAAAGATGAGGGCTGACACATGTCGGAAGGTCTGTTTTGATAGAATGCTTATTCAGCGTTTTAGCGTTGCATGAAAATTCTGCACACACTCAGATAATTCAAGTGAATTGTAGAGACACCAAAAGGTTTATGTAAAAATATCTTGAGAATGGGAAAAAAACTATGGGGTCTAGCTTAGTTGAAATAATGCACTATGTAATAGTGATTTCACAAACCCACTTTTTTTTTCCAAGTTAGGGAAGATTGAATTGCAAAATTGATGTAAAATGATATTTCTGAAATAATATTTGTAATGTAGCTGCGAAATTTATAGTCGATTATTACGCAGGCAGTAGTACACTGTGAATATTGTTGATGGTGGTTGTAGTGTCAGCTTGTCATAGAAGTCATAGTTGAAAGTCATGATAATAATTTATTATATAGGTCGTACATGGTTGCTTCAGGAGCGTCCATTCGCCACAAAGGTCGTAATATAGAGATGCAATAACATCCATAAGCTGTAGAAGTCATAGTTGGAAGCTGCATCAACTATGAGTTGTGTAAGCCGTGGTTGGTCACAAGGACCATAGTGATGAGATGTAATGACGTATGTAAGTCATAGAGTTAGTTCTTATAGACATGGTGTATGAATAAGATACAGGAAGACTATCCTACCATAATCATGCTCAATAAATGAGTTGTCGAGGTGGCAACAATGGATGTCCCTTAGCTTGAAAATGCATCTTTTAAACTTGATTTATGGATGAGACATGAGATGACTTCCCTACTACAATCATGCCCAGAGTGATAATGTGAACGATTTTTAAGCCACAATGATGGTTTCCCTCATGCTAAAAATGCTTTTAAAGTCATCTTTTTGTGACTTTCTTCTTTTTTTGCAAAATTAAGATGGGTGAGAGAGGTTTTAATAATCCTTCTCCATTAGTGTGATATGTATCATTTAAAAATAAAGCAGGGGTTGGGCTTCTCAACTTGAATACTATGTCGAATAAGATTCTGTTTCTCATAGATTGAGCCTAATTATTACGTTTCTAATGATTCATGGTGGTAGAGTAATAAATCAGTGTCTTAGCGTTGCGCGAGGATCTAACACACACACATACAATAGAGAAGTAACATGAGACAACATGATTTCTTACGTGAAAAACGCTGAGAGGGACAAAGCCATAGAGCCTAGCCCATTTGAAGTAATCCACTATGTTGTTTTGAGTTCATAAGTTTACTCTTCTCCTGAATTACGAAAGATAGAATTACAAAATTAAAATAGTAGTCCAATTCACATAATTGTGATTGTACAACTACAAATGTAATTTTTTTGTGGATGTAATGGCCTCATCTTGTCATAGAGACCGTAGTTGATAGTCGTAGTGATGGTTAGCTATATAAGTTGTTGTTGGTAGTTTCATGAGTGATGGTTGACATCACACGTCATAGTGGAGAGCTGTAATAACATTAGTTGGCCACCAATGTTATAGTTGGAATTACAGTGAGAGCATATAGGTAGTAGTTGGAAGCTGCATAAATTGCGAACTATGTATGCCATAGTTGGTCTCACAAAGCGTAATAGTGAGTTGTGATACCATCAATTGGTCATAAAGGCCATAGTGAGAGGCTTTATTGATAACAGTCAGCAAAATAGGTTTTTGTAGACCATAGAGGCCAGAGTTTAGAGCTACAATAACATTTGTAGACCGTAGAAACTGGAGTTGAGAGCTACGTGAGCTGTGATCCACCAAGCTTATAGTTGTTCACATAGATTGTGATGAGCTGCAATAACACCAATAAGCCATAAAGGTCGAAGTTGAGAGCTACAAGAGTTGTTTGTCACGTAGGTCGTAGTGGTGAGTTACAATAACATCCATTAACCACAAAATTAAGGGTTGGAAGCTGTAATAATGTCCACGGACTATAGATGTGAGTGTTGAGAGCTGCAATGTCATTCATAGGGCAAACATATTGGAGTTGTTAGTTGTGTGTATTGTGAGCCACATAGCTCATAGTTGGTCACATACGTCGTAATGGTAGACTGCAATAGTGTCAGTTGGCCTCAATCATCATAGTAGAGGACGGGCGTCAGTTGGCCACCAAGTTCCAAGTAGAGGGCTGTAATGTCAACTAATGTTACATTAGATCTGTGGTGCATCGTTACATCATATTCAACGTACATTATTATACCGTTTTTGGAGTGCATCATTACATTACATTCAGAGCACATATTTGCTCAATAGGATACTTCGTTACTCCATCACGTGCGTGTCATCATGTCAGGTGCTTAACATTGCAAATGTTTCTTAGAAATTGTGAGGTTAATTATTTTGAATGGTACTTTGTTGGCGATGAGGAGGGGGCTGACGACGATGGTCGAGGACAGCTAGCAAGCAGTACGTGGTCAATTGTGGTTGG